CACTGAGCGCTCAACACAGACAGCATCGTCAGAAGGAAAGTTGATAAAATAAATTACAAATTTTGTATTGTTCGATACATATGCATACTGAACCGAAAGCACTGTATCGAACGGTTCAGTATCGATACGAGTATCGTTGCACCCCTAACAACCAGGTGTCAAGTCTGCCCGTGGCCACCACCCTGCTCCGCCCCTGCTGGTGGACAACGCGTCTGTATAAAATAATACACAAAATTCAAAACTCATTAAGTCCCATGTTTGTGGGGAAAGCGATAGCTGAAACTCCGCCCATGATGTGATCTACATCAGCGGTCCCCAACCCCCGGGCCTCGGACCAGTACCGGTCCATGAGTCGTTTGGTACCGGGCCGCGAGAGTTGAGGCTCAGGTGTGAAATATATGGTTTTCAGGGTTTTCAGCGTTATTTTGTTATCGTTTTTATCGTTAACTCGGTTTTCCTGGGTCTTTTCACGTGTGTTATGAATAAATCTTCTTTTTTTCAGTACTGGTACTAGTTTTATTTTGTTGTATTTATCCACGACACCCTAAAGGCCAGTCCGTGAAAATATTGTCGGGCATAAACCGGTCCGTGGCGCAAAAAAGGTTGGGGACCGCTGATCTACATGATTAAAACGGGTTGTGTTGCATTGTTGTCCCTAAACTTATGTTTTTTTTTTAGAAAAAGGTAAGACTACTCTCACTCTGTCCCTCCCACCCACGCAAAACCCACAGCTGAACGATCACACTTGCATGCTATTTATACGTCCATCCAGCCACCTGTGTCTGAAAGGCAGCAGACTCCTTTCAGCGGGGCGAATGAAAGTCGTTTTGGAAAATCACTAACTGAAGAGGAAGCAAGCGGCAAGTTGAGGAAAAGTGGATAAATGGGGAAGAAGTTTTTTCATTACTTGACAAAATGTCTTCAGGAAACTGCTTTGAGTTAGACAAACTGATGATACAACATTGTGAGAGTCTCTTAGGTCGGGTTAGTGCGTGCCTCTCTTTCAGCTCTTTTAATCGTAGAGATATTTGTGTGAAGCCAGCTAGCTTTTGTGGATCATCATTTCTCAGCAATCCAGCTTAGGTTCGAGAGAGATTGGACTCATTAACGCTGCCTTGACTTTACTGAATCCGCTGAGAATTTGATTTTAATCCTTATTGAGATGCTCAGTGCGGCTTTCAGCATGGTAAGCCTTCACTGAATTGGTCCTGATGGAGAGCATTTTTATCACTGTGACATATGTAGCATCAAGCCAGAATTAAAAAAACTTTTGGCCATCTAGGAAGCAACTGCAGTTTTAAAGCTTCAAGCAGACCTATTATGCTTTGTCTTATTTCCTGTTAGAATAGTCGATGCTCATATTAAAGAGTCAAAGTTCCAGATAATGAGGCGAGGATGTGTCCAAGTAATCCCTGTCAGCTCAAACTAGGCTTCAGCCTAATCACTCAATTTCAGAGAGGTTTCTTTTTCCTACTCTTTGCTTTTGCATGAGGTCAGAGAGCATGAATGTGCTCATGTCTTCAATTCAGTTAATTTTCCTTATTAGAGGGCCAAATCACAACAACGGTCACCAAGGTGCTTCATATTGTAAAGTAAAGAAACCCCAACAAGTACACAACCCCCTATGAGAAAGCATGCTGGCGACAGTGGGAAGGAAAAACTAAATTTTAACAGGAAGAATCCTTTGTCACTTTCTCCAGCAGAAACAGGCTCAGGGAGGGACAGCCATCTGCTGTGACCGTTTCTTATGACAGCTCTCATGACAGATCTCTTATCAAGCTCCTCCCCCAAGCAGACATTCAGAAGAAAGTTTCCTTAAAGTGAAAGAAAAGGAGCTAAAACGGTTTGTTTCAGACAGTGCACCAAGCCCCAGTGTAAGATTAATCGGGATTATTCTGAACTGTGAATCATGCAAAGCTAGTCTAGGCAAGTCCAGGTATTAAAAACAAGCAAACATGCAATTGGAAACTGGCATCAAAGATTCCCTTTAAGTCATCGAGCTGCTTAGCAGGACTGAGATGTGGTTCTTTCCACTTTGACTTCTGAATTACTGATTTTAATAGACTCTGAGTGCTTGTATAACAAAGGTTCACTCAACGTCTTATTTTTCATTTTTCTTTTTACATGTAGTTTAAAATAAGGTAAAACTTTGTGAATTTCCTTCAGAATTATTAATGCATAGTAGTATGTGTATGTGTAATTTAATTTTAAAAAGTAGTAGAAAATAAAAACAATTATCAAGCTGCTGGAGTAATTTGAAATCCAAGGTAATCATTACGTTCGTGTATGATTCTTGGAAATGATTGCATTGATGTTGAAAATGTAATCCCACCCATTGACATCGATGTGATTGTGTTATTGGCATAATTGTTGTCGGTGAATCATGCATAAGCTGTTTGCCTGGTAAATCTGTTCGGACACCTTTCTCTGTCAGTCTGTTATTTTTTACCATATAGAGAAATTATACCTGTATTGTGAATAGAAGCAGCGTTCAGGTGGTTATCCTCTGCTGCAGGTACGTGACGGCGTGCGCCTTCTCTCCGACCTCACCGCTTATTGCTACAGGATCTATGGATAAGACCATAAACATCTGGAGGCTGGAGGATGGTTGCGGTGGAAACGGTAGGGAGGGAAAAACCCACACGCATCACTTTAGAAGAGTCACATCTATGTTTTGGTGAGTTGTAAAAATGTTCCTGTAATCTGTTTTTGTTTTTCTCCCTTACTGCACCTCCCCGTCCAACGGAAAGGCGGGAAGCTGTTGCCTGGTTGGTTTTCTTTCTATCTTTTTTTGTTTTTTCTTGTTTGGACACATTTTTTTATGTCACTTTAACAACAACAACAGCAGACTGAGTACAACAGCAAGCAACACTCAGCAGTAACAGGCCAGCTTTTATTGCTCCTTTTTTGCCAGCTCTGAAAAACAGAGGATTTTTTAAAGACCTTATAACCTTTATATTCTCTGCTGAGTACGAATCAGTATAACCTTTAATAACAGTGTTTCAGCTCAAGAGCATCATTGGCTCTTTTTTTGTGTGTGTTAAGATTTTACATGTTAAAGCAGCTTCGTCTCCTAAAGAAGGGCACAGATGTTGGTTTCACGGTCGCCCTCGTTTCCTCGATCACTCGCCACTCTCACGTGTTTGCAGTTGGCCCAAAGATTTCATTGCATTTCTCATGTTTACGGTTCTTTTTCTTTCTTTTGTTTGTCTTGCAGAAGAATCTGCTCAGACTTCAATCAAAGGTGATAAGACAGCTTTACTGTATTATGTGTTGCAGATATTCTATACAAAAATATTCCAGTCCTGAGACAAAGTGTGCACAAAAGCCTGCGATTGTTTTTGTCCTAATCACACTATTCACGTTTGGTTTCACATTAATCTTTCAAACATTTATTTATATCGCTGTAACAGCCACAGCCTCACGATCAATAAGCAGTCAGCCGGACTCCAGGTTCGCCTTGCATGGAGAATATGTGTCCATTTTTCAAAAGCTGTCTAGGACTGACCATCTTGCTTTGACTCACCCTCTCAGGGAGAGCCTCGGGAGGCCGATCGAAGCTGCTGGTCAGCGATTGGTCGGAGGACGATGTGTCAGAGTGGCTGCTGGAGGAAGGCCTCGAGGGATTGGTGGACAGATTTAAGGCCAATAACATAGATGGGACAGAGCTGCTCAGCCTCACCAAGGAAACACTGGCGTCAGAGCTGCACGTCGGTGAGGAAGACGAGCATCACACGCTGCTCAGCAAGAGCGGCGCCGCTTCCCCACTCCCTCCTTTTCCCTAATACTTTCCTTTTTGTCCAGAACAGAAGGATAAAAGCCCAGTCTTATGAGCATTACACGCCGGGTCTCTTGTGAGAATGAGCACGGCCGCGTGCGGATTAGGATTTTTGCACCTATTTACATGGATAAAAGATGGCATATTAAATCAAAGTAAGGGTGAAGGAATGGGTGCTGATGGGGAGGGGGAGTAGGTGGGGGGGGTTTACTCAGCAAGATTATGTAATATTAGGCTGCACTGGGAAACCACTAAGCTTTAGGGACCTTAGCGGTTCGGACGTTTAATCTGGAGCGCTTCTTCAGTTACATAACCCAATCAAAACAGAATTCCCCATACGGTATAAAGTGGATTTATACCTAAGCCCTATTGGTTATTTCCAAGTCTGTCTGAATGTATTATTTTTAGTTGATCAGACGCTTTTGTTTTTTTTCCTCCCCCCTTTCACCATCAAGTGAAACCGCTCGGCAAAGTCGGAGCGTTATGTTGTCGATGTCAGTCTACCAGCTAGGCCTGTGTTCGTCACGTAGTTGTCAGCAAATGTTTGTTGCATTGCCGTGCCGTCATTTTCATCCCACAGTCGCTGTCAATCACTCCTCGCCGTGGCAGCTCGCGTTCACATCGTTCTGTTCTTAGTAACGCCGCGTGAATCCCACCTTGCTTGTAACCAGAACTAACTTGGAGAAGAGTGTTAGAGTAGTAATCTGTTTTATCTGCTACAATGACAGAGAGACAGAGACGGAGCGCCCTGACGCGTTTTTCAAAGCTGAGAGTGAAATCAATGCCTCTTTGAGAGGAAAGCACACAATGTTTAAAGTCCTTTGTGTTCATTTGCAGTTAAGGCATTTTTTTATGAGATTGTTTATTTGTAAACTATAATTTCTGTGTGATGATTTATTTTTTTTCAAAGTAAAATTGGCCACCGGGTAGCTGCTGAGCATTTATCTTTGAATTGGACAGACAGCAGACATGGTCTGGTCCCACCACCCTCACCCACGCTCACATTTGTCACCCGAGAGCGCAGAGTGCTAAAGACACGAATAACAAATGCTCAGAGGCTTCATCGTATTGATATTACTGTCAGTATTTGGGTCAGTTCAGCTTGTTCCACTTGATGCTCAGCTATTTTCCTTTTCCTTTTTTCTTTCTTTCTTTGAATCACTGCACACCGAGTCTTTATGTGCCTCTGTTCTGTGGCTGATGTGTGTCTGTAGAGTCAGTTGGCCTGCGCAGTAAACTCCTGAGGAAGGTGGAGGAGCTGAAGAGTGATTCAGTGTGTCTAGGCATTCCCGATGAGTTCCTGTGTCCAATCACCAGAGAACTGATGAAGGAGCCGGTTATTGCTGCCGGTGAGCTGAGATCATTGATCATGTGTTTCATCATTACTTTGTGCTTGTTTGTGTTGTTTACACAGTTTTTTCCACCCCAAACAGATGGCTACTCTTATGAAAAAGAGGCCATTGAGAGCTGGATTAATACCAAAAACCGCTCCAGCCCCATGACCAACCTCCCCTTGCTGACGACTCTGCTCACCCCTAACCACACCCTGAAGATGGCTATTGGTCGCTGGAAGACCAGCCACTAGACATCTGTGGATCTGAGCTGGCGTGCTAATGATTTTTCACTGAAGTGTAGAGAAGCAGAATGCAGTGCTCAGATAAATGCCCACAGCACCGTTTCAGGAAAAGGTGTGCCTGATAGTTAGCCAGATTTTAAACGACCAACCCGAATCAACAATCAGCTGCCTGCTATCACACAGAGGGGGGGGAAAAGACCAGCATGAGCATCCAGACTTTTCAAGAATGCACTTAGCTATTCACTCAAATTCAACTAGCTTTGGCTGCAGCAAATATGTCACTTTTAGGCTGGATCATGTTTTCAATTTCCTCATATTTGGTCCTTCCTGTGAAATCCCTGCTTTGATTTTTGATCAGTGAAGAATGAGGAAAACTATTTGCCTGCATTGCTTTTAATGATTCCCCTAACCTCACTTTACAAATAGGTGACTATTTTGTTATTATGTGAAACTGATTAGCATTATTGATTTTATATATATATATATACACACACACACCAGTGTGTGAATGTGTGAGTGAATGGGTGGATGACTGGATATGTAAAGCGCTTTGGGGTCCTTAGGGACTAGTAAAGCGCTATATAAATACAGGCCATTTACCATTTACACACATACACAAAACACTATTTGCACTAACTGTAGATCAGAAGAATCTACAGTGTATTTTATTTAGATTGCTGTAACCTTGTTGTTTACCTTAGGCTGTATGTGAAAGATGAACATAGCTGCTGTGTTGGAACAGCGACGCCAATGTGGAAGTGCCTTTCACCTGCATTCTTTCTATTAGCCAGCAGGGGGCGACTGCTCTGGTTGCACAAAGAAGCAAAATTCTTAAGAAGCCTGATAGAAATCCTTCTGCTCTCTTCGTTTATGGGCTCAGTAAACATCTTCCTGATGACTTTATAAACTCAGTCACTAGTTTAAAGTCTTGCTGAATACAAGATGATGCTCATTTGTGTGGCATTTGGCAGTTTCTAACTCATTTCCACTCCACACACGAGAAATTGTGGTTCAGAAAAGCCAAGATGGTGAGACCCGAAATGCTCAGGTCCAGACTGGAGAAAGATAGTCCGTGTTTTATATTGATGTTTTAATGTCAATTTAGGCGAGTTATGTGAAAGGTCCTGTGAAAGGCCTTTCTCCCACCCGCACACCCGGAAGCTTTAAGCAACATTTTATGGAGTAAAATGAAAGAATGAGCTGTAGAAATGTAGTCATCCAGGAATATTTTATTATACCACAATATTAATGTGGTAATATTCTGTAATCCATAGTATGACTCTGAAAAGTGTATATGACAACTATGAACATATATTAAGTCTTAAGTTTCTGTTTTCTCTCTTTATCCCACATTCTGTAAAAGCTCTTTCTCAAGTCTGAATAAACCAATAAACACTTCATATGAATATTTTCTCTGCTATGCAAAAATAAATAACATTTACTGTGAATACTGAAGCAGTCACTTGTAAGATTATGACAAGAAGCTGTCCAACAATGTCATGTACAGTGCCTTTTTTTTGTGTTTTTCTAGTCAAATGCACCAAGAAAAAGGATCTCGGGTACACGAAGTAATCCGTTCTGAAGCCTGTAATGCTAACAGATAACCACTTACAGGGAAATAGATAATCTGCAAATATAGTGTACACCGTACAAATATAAATGTTTTTTAAAAGACACTTCACAATAGAAATGGTCATATCCTGCAACAAACAGCGTGAGGTTTCGTATATTCGTGCACAAAGCTTTCTCAGTTTTCTATATTTGATATTATGAATTAAAAGTTGAGACAATAGACTACTCTTTTTTTTTTTTTTTTAATTTAAATCCCTACTTAAGGTATGTCTGGTCTTCTTGAATACACTAGCTGTATACATGTAAGCAAAAGCATAGTAGCCTGAGTTGAACACTGGTTCTAGATTGTAAATGCAGTGCAGCAGCATAAATCTACAAAACAGGCTCAGGGAAGGGAGCCGCTCTCACGCCCGTCTCCCTTGCTACCTAATGTGGGACATAGCTTGTTGAAAAAAAACCAGCCTGCTCCTGTGCTTTGAGAAACTACGCTCAGACGTTGGATTCTATAAAAGAGCGTTTGGGCTTTATGGGAGCCATGTGCAGAGCTGGGTTGTCTCTCGTCAGGCTCGCCTGCCTGTGCCTCCCCTCGGGGAAGCGTAGCTGGGAGGATGTGGTACCTCTGCCCTCTCGCTGGTGCAGCCGGTCTCCAAACTCACGGCCCTGCTGCTGGCTGTTGCTGTGGCTCACAGAGTGCTGCTCCTGGAATGATGCGTGTTTGAACTCATTGTTCAGCCCTTGGAACTCCATCACGGACATGCTGAAGCTCTCCACCCCTCCTCCCTGCCGGCTCAGGCCAGAGGCCTGCTGGCTGACTCGCACCGCTTTGTCCATGACCCCCATAAAGGGCCGGGGCTTTAACTCAGGTTTTGTCTTGAAGCTACCGCTGCTCTTGATAGGGCACGGGGCATCTGGTGCCTGCTGCCTGCCCCCATCTGACAGGTTCCCACTGGAGGCCTGACTGGAGCTGGAGCCCCTTGAGCCTGTTGTTCCTGCTCCACCACCCTCCCGCCTAACCTCCATACCAGCACCTAAAGCGAGCGCCAGGCCATCCAGAGCAACAGAGTGGGTAGAGAGCCTGTCAGAGCCCCTGGAGAAGCTGGAGGAGCGCGGCTGGTACATCTGCAGAGGTCCAGGTGGGGAGGAGCTGTTGGGGGACATAGGGTGATAGTGCTCAGTAGGACTGAGCCCAGAGTGTTCACAGGATCCAGGGCCGATGTCGATACCCATAACAGGTGCAGGCCTCAGAGAGGTGGAGATGTGTCTACCTGGCAAAGGACTAGAAGGACCGCACAGAGACAGAGGCCTGCCCCCAATTCTGCTCCCTGACTGGAGGGAGTGGCACTGGTGATGAGTCCTGCTGCCCTGGCTCTGGAGTTGCCTGTTAACAGCAGAAACTGGCTCGGGCATGTCCACAAACAGCTGGTTCTGTACATATTCCTCTTGATGAAAGCTCGGCGACTGATCTCCTAATCCAAAGGCCACAGCTCCGGGGAGAGTCCTGTTCGGAGCGTATGGATTCAGAGGCCAAAATTCAGGACTTTTCCCACACTGCAGGCTCACCTCCTCGCCATCTTCCTTTTCTTCTTCCTTCTCCGCATTGGCCTGCTCTGCTGGGATGTGCCTTTCCAGACTTCCCTGTGAAAAGACGTCCGTTTCCTCCTCTGTGGCTTGATGATGGTGGGTGTGAGGGTCCCTGTTGTAACCCTGTGCCGAGTTGTTGCTGGAAAGCTTCTGATGATGCTTACATTCCTCCTCTACTCGTGCCAGCAGGCGTCGGATCTCCCGGTTGGACGGGCAGAGTCGTGCTGCTTCGTGGAGATCTGCCAGCGCTGCAGCAAACTGCCTGGGGAGAACCGAGAAAACGAACAAAAGGAACTTTTTAAAAATACAGAGAGGACGCGGCCCTTTTCTCGCAAGAATTTCCTATAAGCAAAAGGATTCGGCTCGAAGTATACTTGAATATTGTTGTACCTGCTACTCCTCTTGGCCCGGGCTCTGGCGTAAAAGGCTTCATAAGACCTTGGTTTCAGTTCCAGGGCTTTTGTTGCAAACTCCTCAGCTATGCCAAAATCCTGCAGAAAAATGCATTTAGTGACACGCGCTGTTTGTATTTCAAATTAAATGTGACGCTGTGACGTGCAGCAACAAATAAACCCCACTGTATGATCAGCTGCGTTTCTAAGTGCCTAGCCTGGAGAGTGCCGGCTCTGCAGAAATAATTTGAGGCCATTCCAGTAATAAAAAAAGAACAATACTGTTTGTTTGCCGCTTCATTATATGGAGCTGAGGATCAAAGCCTGTTTAATGAAACAGAACTCGCGCTGCAATCATTTTTATTGACCAGGAGCAGAAGGAGAGCGGCTTGCCTTTCCTGCTGGTTTTACTGCTCCCATCATCACTCTCAGGTGAATATTTAATGACACCAACACAGTGTGATTCTGTCCTTCAGAGTGAGGTCAAAACGACAGCCTTGAATGTGAGATTGTGAGCGTCGCTGTTGAATGTTTAATGACGGTATCATGTAGTCTCCCTGCTGGCCCCTACTGCCTGCGTTCAGCTGTAATATGTGGATTTTAGCCAGCGCGTTAGTGCGGCCACTGTAAATAAACCCCCTGCAGAGCCACGGAGAAGGAAAGAGAGTGGACTTAGCCTGCCAGAGAGAGTGACCTTATCACATCACATTATCTGCTCCATTATTCATCAGCCACACTGACCCTAAGGATGGCATTTTTACACAGTCTGTTAGGACGTCTGTCATCACCAGGGTGGGTTCCAGCCCTGGCTGCAGGCCACACACACATCTATCTCCACACTAACGGCACACAGTTATTCATTATGTCACCACCTGCTTCCAGGTCTTACAAGTACATTCTGTTTACCAGGGAGGCCTGAAATTAGATCTGAAAAGCAGCTATATTTTTGCATTGCGCTATACCAGCGGAGACATGTTCTTTTTATGTTGATACAGATAAATAATACATCTTGAGAAACCGTGTATCTTGCCTCGGCCGCCCTAACTGACATTCCCTAGGTGTCCAACAAACCTGCAGATGTTAAATAGTGCAGAAGTGGTTTGGTACAGCTGTGAGTCTTACGTTGGTTTTCCTGCGGCACCGTGAAAGGTTTAGATACAGGGAGACTCGCAGGTCTTTCAAGCCTTTCAGCTCCTCTCCTTGCCCTTCACGTGGTAGTTTCCTTAGGGCATACTGATAACGCTGGCCTGCTTCTTTCATACGTCCCTTCTGTGAAAGAAGAGAAAAACTCAAAGGGGGTTACTGACAACTAATCGTTTTCCCACCACATGTAACATGTAACATTCGCTATACCGCACCTTGTAAAGTAAGTTCCCTTCTTCCATCAGCTTCTGCAGCAGGATGAGGAGAATGTCTGGTTTGGAGGAAGCCATAGCCCACGTAGCATGACCTGATGGAGGGGTACAAAAACTTTTTGTATTATCCTGCCTCACCTTATCTCTTGTTCTTTGGATGTTAAATATGTCACATATGTCGGGTACCTGATCGATCGTGCGGAGCCGTTCTGTAGCCTTTTGTTTGATAACGGGGAGCAACCAGGGATGGAGAGAGAGAGGTGAGAAGGGAGTTAGACAAGTGGATGTAAAACTGCTCGTGTGTGGCAGTAATCAAAGATCTATCAAGCCGTAAAGAGCCACTGATTAGTTTAAGGCGAATACGAGCGCACTTTGAGTGATGGGCTTAGCCTGAGACGCGTCGATTCAACTTTATGCTATGTTAGACGTCGTGCCGCAATTAGTGAAGAAAAATTGTTGTACAATAATTAGTTTTGAAGAGGAGCAATGATGGGAGCAAAGTTGTCATGGCAACGGGATCTGGGGCCTGGTCTTCATACATTGCTTTAAAAAAAAAAAAAACTCAACTAGGTGACTAGGTTAGGACCACGTAGGAGGAGTTTCCTCTTCCTCT